GCGTGGGCTTCAACTTCAGCCAGCTTTGCTGGCTGGGGAATTCTGGGGGTTTCTTAAAAGTTGCCAAATTTGAGAAACCCTGCTGTCGAGGAGCAGCAGCAGCCGCATGCCGTCCTCTCCTGCCCTCTTCGTTTCTCCTCAGGCTGCCCATGGAAACCTAATGCAGGCGGTGGGCCTCCTCACCGAAGTCAGCGACCGAGAGTCCGAGGGAGACCCCACTGCTTCCGACTCCGAGGGAAGAGAAAGACCGGCCACCCGTAAGCCCTGGCTTTCTCCTTCGTGGACTTTTCTCCTCCATCCCTCCAGCATTTAAGTTTTCCCAGGAAGGCTGCATGCTGGCTCTGAAAACCTCCCCAACAAATTCCGTCCCTCTGGGACGGAGCCTTTATAAATAGAAGCAGAGACCAGCACGGGCCCTTGCTAAGCCTCAGCTAGCGGCCTTTGGGATAGAGCCGTTCTCAGAAATCTCCGTCATCGGGGCTAGGCTGCATTGAGTCACTTGTGTTCTTGTGGGGAGGGAAGAGAGGATGGCGGTGAAGAGCCAAGCAAGCTGGTAAGATGTCAACGGAGACCCCCAAAGGGCCTATGATGCATCCTGATCTTTGTGTGACTCTCTGGATGAGAGAACATTGCTGTGAAGTGGGAAGTGCCCTTGGGCTTCTCTGGGTGGGGAGACGAAGCAGTTGAACTGCACCGACAACACCTAACATGGGCTGCTCTCTCAATTCCCAGCTCCGAATGAAGCCCCTCCAAACCCTGCCGATTTTCAGGAACCTTTTCCTTCTGGAGGCCCAGACTTCTCAGCCGGGGAGACGGATTTTGCTGCAGCCACCAACGCGTATGTCATTGTGTTTATTCTGCATTGTCGCTGTGGGGGCCCCTTTGTCTCCAGCAACAGCCATGCCCCACCCTGCCCCCATCCAGGTCCCTGATGTGTTTGCATGCTCCCTGATATGATGTGTACAGAATAACCCTTGAGTAACAAGGATAGACATATGGAAACGTTTAGGAGAATAGTTATGAAGAATTAATTATTCAGCCACACTCAGATACACTAAATTGAGTTAAAGTTTAAGAAATAGCACAGTCCAGTAAACAGTCCAGGTCATATACGTTTAACAGTCCAAAGACTATCCAATTACAAAGTCTTCTTACCGGTTGCCTTTGTCATTTACAGTAAACAAAGATATCAAAGTATAAGCACAGCAGAGAACCTTAGATAGCAACAGAATGTCAGAGAGACAGAATGTCAAGAGAGAGAGAGCATGTCAGAGAGAGCAAACCATGATCTCTAGCTCCCTCTTATGGCAATTCACAATACAATCAACCAATCGGATCATAGTACAAATCAATACAGCAACTTTGTCTTAAAGCTACAAACATACATTGTTGGTTTATATATTGCCAACCCAACTAATTGTTGGACAGATTCCTAACACTCCCCATCCCCACAGGAGAAACACGTGTCCAAATCTATTCCAATCGGGGTTTTCCATTTTCAGGAAATGTCCAGCTGACTAGCACAGTCTGCATTCCTAGCAGCCCAGGCTTTTCTTGAGGGCCAAAGTCTGCTGAAAGAGGGATGACAATTATCCTCTTGGGCAGGGGTCTTCAACCTTGGCAAGTTTAAGCTTTGCTGGCTGGGGAATTCTGGGAGTTGAAGTCGGCCAAGCTTAAACTTGCCAAGGTTGGAGACCCCTGCTCTTGGGGTGTTCTGTAGTACCTCCTCGAAGAGCCCAAGAGATGAGTAGTGAAGAGGGCTAGTTGCTTCTAGCCCCCCCAAAAAAGATTTAATTGCAGTTGCTGCTGTTTGTGTTTGTGGCAGAGCCCAGGAGCCCAGTGCAGCCGAAAACAAAAACCGCTCCAAAAGGAAACGCTGCGAAGTTTGGGGAGAGAACACAACTCCGCGGGACTGGAGGAGGGTCAGCGGGTGGCCGGTTGGGATGAAGAACATTGGGAACACCTGCTGGTTCAGTGCAGTCATACAGGTAATTTGGGGCACTGGGGCTTCTCCGCTGGCATCGGCACTCAAACTCTCGCTCTGCCGCTTTAAGACGAGTGGGCTTCAGTTGGGTGGGGAATTTTTGGGAGCTGAGATCCACCCTTGCTAAAAGTGTCTGAGATCAAGCACCACTTCTCCAATGAAGCAGTATTTTTCTTCAGTTGATGTGAGAGCGAACGAGTTCGGGCTTCCCTGCCTGCTTTCTCTTCCTGGGCTGGGCTTTAACTTTCCCAACGGAGCCTGTGGGAGGATGGAGAAGGTGGCCCTTACCTGTTGGCAGGTGGCTGTGGCCACCCCAAGCCTCTCCTTTGGCTGAAGTCCTCTTTGAGGAGTATCCTAGAGGCTCGACATACAATCACCGATGGAGCGGGAGGTTAATTTCATGGGTGCTGTCAGTCCCTCTTCCAGCTGCCAGAATTCCGGCACCTGGTCCTGAACTATTCCCTGCCCGGAGCCGTCCTGGACACCTGCCGCAGCCGAAGTGTAAGTGACTCCTGGGTGACGGGAGGGGAACTCATCTTCCTGAGCAGCCCTGTTGGCACAAGAGGGCTGGCCAAACACTGACAACCTGCAAGGGTGGGAGGTCGTTAAAAGATGAAAGAGGGTTTCTGATTTCTCCAGAAATGGGAAGGACTCTCCCATGTTCAGAATCTGGAACACAAAGCTGTGATTTGATGGTATGATTAATTTCCCCAATTTTAGTTTTCTCTTGCAAGTTTGGAACCTTTTCAGTCTTTCAGAGTCTGGGCCCCTTAGGGGTCCAGTATGTTAGAATACGGACGCTCTTAGTTTGGACTTTCCTCCCCTACAGTTTACCTATTCATTAAATGACCCCAAATAGCTAAAAACAGACATGATGTGTGATCATGAACTCTGACCTAGAGAGACAATGCTGGAGTTGCTGGCCACCCCATAAAGACTTTCTCTGGAATTGTGCCCTAGTTAGTTTTGGCTTTGGATGGTTTGTGAATGGAGTCCTGGTTGTGTGAATTGTGTGCCACGCATCACTCCAGCAAATATAACTTCTGAATGTGAACTAAGCACACTTGGCTGATCCAGGACCCTTTCTTGACCTGTGGTTTAAATTGCTTTTTTTATTGCGCCTCTTCTTGTTTTGCAGGAAAAGAGGAACATCGCATTCATGCAGGAACTCCAATATCTCTTTGCTTTGATGCTGGGAACGCGCCGCAAATTTGTAGACCCGACAACCGCCCTCGAACTTCTCAAAGGGGCATTCAGATCCCCGGAGGAGCAACAGGTGAGGGCACCCTTGGGCTCTTTCTCCCAGATCCCGGCTGGCCCTTGGCCCAGGATCACACTGGCAAGGGGGGGGGGGGGGTCTCTGACTCAGCCCCTGCTGTACAGGAGTGTTTCTCAACCTGGCTGACTTTCAGATGTGTGGACATCAACAATTCTCCAGCCAGCAGAGAGATTTAACTTAAAGGCAGTTCACAACTCTAAAGTACAGAAACGTTAACAACGTAAAGTCATTTTAAAATTAAAAATGAAAGACATCGAAGTTTATGTAAAAACAGCAGAGGAAACTGTTCGGGGTAAATGTCTCCAGAAACTAACCTTTGCTGCTTCCTCTGTCTCCTTTTTAGCAAGATGTGAGCGAGTTCACCCACAAACTCCTGGACTGGCTGGAAGATGCTTTCCAACTGACAGTGGAGGCCGAGTGAGTCAAAAGAAGCTTTGGTGGTTTATTTTTTTTTTTTAAAACAAGTTTTATTAATTTTTAAAACACACAAATTATCATTATTCATTACATGTTTAAACCTTTTTCCCTTGTAAATTTAACAAGTCAGATAAATTATGATTCTGTTTTAAACCATTTCCATATAATATACCAAAACCTCTTATTCAATTTCTCTTTACTTCTCTTTACTCTTATTCAATATCATTATTATTATTTCATCTGTTTCTTTCTGACTTAGTTACCATTATTCTCATTCTATATTTCTACAAGCTTTTACCAATTCTCCCCCAAAAAAAGACATATACACACAACACACAAAACATAAAAAAAATATCTTTTTGGAAAGTAACTTGGACCCAGGTGTCTCTCTCTTCATGGACTTCAATTATATTCATGCTCATCTTACATATCATTACTTATTTTATTTACCATTCTAAGCCTTCTATATTAACTTCTCCACATATTTCACACTTCTTAATTCTACCTTAATTAATCATCTTAGATTAAATCATTATATTTGTATCTTTTGTCCATTTTTTATCATCCCTTTGTCTCATCCCTTATGAAAAAAAAAAGAAAATCAGTTTCTCCTGAAATCATTAATCAGAGTATGATGCCTTTCTATCTCCCCCCTAAGTTAATCAAATTAATCTTTAAAATAATATCTAATACCCAATCAGATTTTGCTTGGTACATTCTATCTAACTAATACATCCAACACAATTAAGTGCATAATTAGAGAATAAATCCAAATATTAAAAAGAAATACTATAATAAAAATTTTATAATAACATCAATACCATAATTTTATTAAACTCTTTAATTAAAACAATATTCTAAACCTCTCCTATTATTAAGTTTTAAAACCAATCATTTTTAAACATTTTAACATTTTAATCTCTTATCAACTCTTAAACCATTGCAATACTACCATCTCATCTTATGTACCTTGCAAAATCTTTTTTTTTAAAAAAAAAAAAAATTATACTTTATCCATTATCCATAAAAAATTCCTTTTTTCCATTTAATTTCAAAACGTTGTAGCTTTTCTCCACCTTTTCCCTTTCTTTCTTTTCCCAACAAACCTTTCTACCCCCCCTTCTTCTAGCCTCTGCCTTACCGGCTTCCCTTCTCTGTCGTATTTCTTTTCCCCTTTGTTTACAATCATCATATTGGTTTTGCACTTTATTTTTCCCTTTCTTAAATGTTTTTTTAGATCTTAAGTCCTTAAATCCTTTAGTTTTCTTCTTTTCTCTTCTTTTCTTTTCTTTCTCTCTTCCTTTTTTCTGGATCAAATTCTGAGATTCATTAAAGATGGCTCCTTCCTTTCTTTCTTGTTCCTCTGCTGTCTTCATCTGTTGTAATTTTTGTTGATAATTAGTAAGCGCCATTTCTAAGAAAAGAAAAGCTTCTTCCACACCATTTCTTAGTTCCTCAACAGAAAGAGCCATTATAAATCTTTTCTTTTCTTTTCTCCTTCTTTCTTCTTACAACAACCAGAATATTCAAAAAAAAATAAAAAAGATAAAACAGTCCCAAAGTTATCAATCAGTCCAAACCAAGGCAGAGTTCTCACTTTCTCCTTCTGGGGTGATATCAATCAAAGAGAAAGAAAGTCCAAATCTGTTTAAAGTCTTGTTACAATATATTCTAGTCTTCAAATCCTTAAGGCATCTGCTCCAACAAATCTTAGCATACAAATATTTTCTTTTTAATCCTCTCTCTTCCCACTCATCGCTTAAAACCAATTTCCACCTAAAAAAATAGGTTTCTTAATATCCAGTTATTTATTCCGTAGGAAAAGAGGGAAAGCTATCCTTTCAGCACCTTCAAGCAGCCGCTTTTTTCCTCTTCTGGCAGGTATTATTCAGAAAGTCATACTTTTCAGGAATTTTATTAAATATGTCTTAGAGTCCTAGGAGCCAAGAAAAACTTTCTCCTCTCAATCACTTTCTCCACTTCCTCCTGCGCATTCTTACCCGGCTGCCAGCTTCTTTGTGGCGGCCATTACGAACCGCCGCTGCACCGTCCTGGGAAAAGGGGGTTCTGCCGGCCAGGGAGGGGGTCTGCAGCACCCCCAAACCCTTCTCCGGATCCCCCCTACCTTCAGCTGCCC